CACAAGATATTTGCATTTGCACCATAAGAAAATTCACATTTGCACCATGGTATCCATATCCTAAGAAAAGGTATTTATAGGAGCATTTACATGAAAAGAGCATTATCATCATCAAATATAGTTGCATCAAGCATTCGCATTCTTGCATTTGCATTGAGATTTGTATTTTTATCAACATTTTCATTAGCATCATTTGATCAAGATGGACATTTGTACCATTGATTGCATTTATTAACTCTGATTAGGAAAAAGCCATTTTCAAAAAAATTTTAAATTTTCAAAGTTCTATTACCTCTGATTGAGAGGAGCATTTAAAGATCTTGATTTCTAAGACCTTCGGGTATAAATTCGATTCGCGGTGTTATCCCGATCGATTCATTATTCTCGACTTGCGGTGTTGTCTCAGTCGATTTTGTAAGACCTCCAGACATGATTTCGATTCGCGGTGTTATCCAGATTGATTCTTTAATTTCGATTTGCAGTGTTGTCTCAGTCAATTCTGTAAGACCTCCGGGCATAATTTTGATTTACGGTATTATCTCGATCGATTCATTATTCTCAACTTGTGGTGTTATCTCAGTCGATTCTCTAAGACCTTTGGGCATGATTTCTAAGATCTCCGGGCATAATTTCTTGACTTATGGTGTTGTCCCAGTCGATCTTTATTTCATGACTCATGATGTTGTCTTGATAGTTTTCTTATTTCTCGACTTGCGGTGTCGTCCTGGTCATTTTTTTTATCACTTGACTTGTGGTTAAAAAAATACTTTTTTTTTTTTAAAATTTCATAATTTACTTCTGGACAAAATCATTATCTTTATCTTTGTCCTATGCCTAATTCTCAGTAATGTGCAAAGAGGGGCAATTGTAGACACCGATTTTATCTGGATCTACTATTTTCAGTTCTTGTTTATTAATAATAATAATATTGGTTTAATTAAAATTAAAAATTATTTAAAAAATAATATAAAATATAAACTACAAAAAAAAATAAAAAAAAAGAGAACTGGGATGCAGTCCTTTCCACCATACTTACAGCCACCCTTGCATTTCCTACAACCACTATCCGCTCCCTCTTGAGCTCTTTAAAAACCTTCCAACCTCTTCTCTTTAGGGCTCTTTGGAATAAAAAAACAAAAAAAAAACCTCTCAGACAGAAGCTAAAAAACACAAACAAACCCAGAAACCCTAATGCCAAAATAGAAAGCCAAAAAAAAAATCAACACGAAAAAACACAAAAATAGAAACCACAGTCCTTGCCGAATCGACGAGGAACCCAGCACCAAGGAGATACTTGCAACAAAAAAGAAAGATCATTAGTTTGAGTCTTTAAGAGAAAAAAAGGGGTCAGAAACTTCAAAACTTGATCTATGAGAATCAAGGCTGTTTTTGGTGAAAGAGGTACCGGATCTGAGCTTAGGAGGTTGAACGGAACCTCCTGGTCAATTTTGAAAATTTTCGATCACTGGTGACCGGTTCGGGTAAAAAAAATTTTTTTAAAAATTTTTTTATATATTATTATTTTCATTATTTCAAGTTTTTGTATTTATGCATGATAAGTTCTTAAATTTGTTAGGATAAATTTTTAATTGTTTTAATAATAATAAAAATGAAAACAAGTAAGATAATAAATAAATATATATTAAAAATGCTCAAAATAATAATAATAATAAAAAATAAATTTTATCATTTTTCTTGCCTAGATGTTGGAGGAAATAAAACATATTCTTAAAAATAATTCTGTCTAGATATTAGAGAATTATTATTAATAAATTTTCAAAAAAAAAAGAAATGTATAAGAAATTTTTGATTAATTTTCAAAAATCACTAAAATCAAACTTGCTCCGAAAATTCGCTCAGATGTTGAAGATTTTTAGAGATGTTCGTATTTTCTTAAAAATGAAAAATTAAACATTAAATCTTAAATTTTAAAACCCTAAGGTTCTAAAACCCCTAAAATCCAAAATCTCTTAAATTCAAACTCCCTAAAATTCAAAACCTTAGAACCTTTAAACCTATAAATCCCAACCTTTTAAAATCAAAATCCTAAACCTTCCATACCCTAAAATTCAAGCCTTAAGACCCTTTAAACCTTTAAAACCTCCACCCAAACTCTTACTCAAACCCATTCTAAAACTTTAAGGATACGTGTGAAAATTTCAAGTTGAGTAATTTATTCTTGAAATGCTGCCTAGATGATGGGGTATTTAGAAAATTTTATTCCATTGAGTTTTTCAAACGAGTCTTTAATTCACTTTAATAATAGGGTTAATAAATAAAAAGTATACTAATAAATTGGGATCTTAAATATAAAAAGTCGCACCAAGCTCTGCCTAGATGTTGGAGAGTCGGGGTGGTCTCATTATACTTAAAAACCCAACTATAAAATTGCATTTCATCTTACATAATATTCATTGACATATATACGTCATCATGTTATTCGTGTTGTATCTCTCTGTCCTTAACATTTATTTGCTACTTGACAATACCGTTATTTATTTTCTCATATAGAACTTTTTTACCAAAAAAAAATACATATTTAAAAAAAAATTGTGATATTATAAAATAAAATAAAAATAACATTCCGAAGGAAAATAATTCTTGATACTCTGCCTAGATGTTAGAGAGTCATTAACATTTATCTTCTATAAAAATTGTTATTTCATTTTAAGGATTATCGTGTTAAATCTTAAGTAAAAAGAGTTATTTTAAATTCTGCCTAAAAGTTGAAGAATTTTAAAATAATTCTTTAACTTTAAGATTTTCTCAATATTCCTAAATAAAGAGCTTTAGCAAAATTTTATTTTTTCAAATGAAGGGAATTACTATTAAATTTCAAGTCAAAACCATTTTTATCGAACACCGAAAATAGCGCATAATTAAATGGTACCAATTTATGGGCATTGTAGGGGTGCAATCCTTCCCCACACGTAACCGACTCTCGAGCCTAACTTGATTTTTCGTAGACCGAAATTTATCTTTTTGATAAACTTTAAATTCGTTTTTATAGTTTTGTTAAAAAGATAAACTTTTGGGTGGTTAATCACCCCTAAAAAAATTGGTGACGACTCTCATTTTATTTCTCTCCATTTTAAAACTCTTTATGTTTGACGGTCCAAAACCGTTATGACAACATTCCATCCAGCTTTGCCGCACATGATTTTCAATTTTTCAAGTAATAAAATCTTTTCCATCACAAAGAAATTTAAATTGCTTTTCTTAAATTTTAAATTAAGTTGTAATTGATAGAAATATATGTATTTATATCGAAAAAACCAAACAAAGTCACGTAAAAACTATGTTCCATATGTTTATTGAAAATGTCAAACTAATTATATAAAAATATATTGTTAAAAATTTTAAAAATGTAATTTTTTTTGGTGAACAAAAAAAATTACGTAATAATTTGTTTTAATAAATAAATTACTCAAGAGCTAAATGAGAAATTTGAATTTTTTTTAATTACAAAATAAAAAATTGAAAAAAATTAAGGGATTAAGTTAGGATTAATAAACAATTAACAGAACATTTAATGGGTTAAATGATGGTTTTTAAAATGATTAGGAGGCCCGAGTGAAAGATTATGAGAAAATGAGAGAAATCTTTATAGATAAAAAGGAAAATTTAACAAATCCAGTGGGAGCTATGGCCACCGCTAAGTTGTTTTGTTTAAGAGTTGTTTGCAGATTTGATTTAAACTTTTATATAATTAAACTAAATAAATTGGTTAAAAACATGATACTATCAGTTAGATGATTTTAGGAAGAGTTTCAAAAATTCTGATAAAAGAAATAAATGAATTTTGAAGTTTTGATTCTATTATCGTGTATCATTTTTTTAACATATCAATTTATAGATTTTTTAAAAACATTTTCTTAATGAATATATATATATATATATATATGTGTGTGTGTGCGTGTGTGTGTGTGATAATCTTCTAATCTTAGTTGATAAAGTTTAAAAACTATGTATATAAGATAATTTTTTATGCATATATATGATAACATAAATATTAGATGTGAGATTGTAATTAATTGAGTTAGTAAGAATTAAATATTTCGCAATTAGATTAAATTTTTGTATTAACAATTTTTTTAATAAATAATTTATAAATTTAATGTAAACTTCCATTGAGATTTATGGTATGCCTCACCTTGAAAATGAGATAAGATTCTCTCACTTTAATTTTTATTTGGAAAACAAAGTATCACTTCATTTATAAATGAGAGTAATGCTATTTAGTTTGATGACAATTTTTCAAAAAAAAAAAAAAAAAAACAAGAGTTAGTAGTTAGTACACTAATAATATAAAATTTTAATTATACAAGTAAGACTAAAAAAAACATATATTTTTAAAAATATTTAAAAAATAAAAAATTTAATTAAAAAAAAAGATATATATTACTTTCTTAACTGCTCTTGTATAATTAAAATTTTATATTGACAATATATTAAATACTAACTCACAAAAATAATAACATCAAAAGTAAATAACATAAGCCGTCACAACAAGATTTTTGTATCTATTATAATTTTCTGAAGTCTGTCATTGTAACCTTGTTAGGACGGAATTCATGTGCATGAACGCATTAATTATTTTCCTTTACATAACACAATAATGGTCGAAGTCTACTCATAGCATACCAAACTCTGTTTCCTTTTTAAAGAATTATTCTATCAACGTCTAACTTAGAAAAATTAATACTTACTTAAGCTAGTCTCTAAGGTCATTGAAATGTCCCCAAATATTAAAAAAAAAAAACTTGTAAAAAATTATTATTCTATGTTAGTATATGTTTTTTACATTTAAATTATGTCAAACCATTTATAATATATTCTATATGGATAAAAAATAATTATTTATCATTTAAATATTAAATAAAAAAACGTAAGACAGTAATTATATATTTTAATTAAAAATTCTAAACAAGGATTGGAAAAACCTTGCCTGCTGATAGTTTGACCAATTAAAAAGTAGTTTAATGAAAACAATGATCAAAATAAAAAACACGCTGCATACATGCGGAGAAATCATTGATGTCAGAGTGGGATATAAGCAATAATAATAAAATCATTGATAAAATGAGTTTTCCGTTTTGCCAATTCTTGTATATGGATTATAGTTGGTATTCAGCAACACAGAAAGCGAAAAATTAGCGTCACCCTTCCGAAGAAGAATCCCCACTTTACTGTGTGACCGCCGCTATTTATGGCAGCCACGTCGCCACCACTCCCTTCTTCTTTCCAAAACGCAAAAAAGATCCTCTCCAATTTCACTTCCTTTAAACCATTTTCGATTTTGTTAAACGACAATAAATACAGTCATTTTCGGTGTCAGATTAAGAGCCTTGAAAATAAACCTTCGAATTGGAGCGTTGAGTTCCTCTCCGGAACCGAACCTCTCCGTTTGATACAAAATTCTCCTTCTTCGATGTCAATGGCGGCCGCTTCCGCCTCCGATTCTGCGGTCAAAACCAGTAAAAAAGTCTGCCTTTTTTACTGCGCCGAGACCAAGGTGCTCGCCGAGAGAATCGCTGCTGAGTCAGACGCCATTGAGCCCCGTAGCATCAACTGGCGGTAACCTGATCAAATCTCAATTTAATGTTAACCTTTTAGATATCATTAATAATTAAATCCTTGTAAATTAAATTTCAAATTTATATTTATTTTAGGACATTTGAAGATGGATTTCCTAACTTGTTCATACCAAATGCACACGGAATTCGAGGACAAAATGTAGCCTTTTTAGCCTCATTTAGTTCGCCGGCAGTGATTTTCGAGCAGTTATCGGTCATCTATGCATTGCCGAAATTGTTCATTTCCTCGTTCACGCTTGTTCTCCCGTTTTTCCCTACCGGAACTTTCGAGCGAATGGAGGACGAAGGAGATGTAGCGACGGCATTTACTCTTGCTAGGATATTGTCCAATATACCGACTTCTAGAGGAGGGCCTACTAGCTTAGTGACATTCGATATCCATGCTTTGCAGGTTCAGTTGTTTATATAATTATATATATTTTTTATTCTTCTGATTATTTCTTGAAAATTTTTTGACTTGGTTTTGTGTTTTCTCAGGAGAGATTCTACTTTGGTGATAATATATTGCCTTGCTTTGAGAGTGGGATACCTTTGTTTAAGAATAGGCTTCAACAGCTCCCTGACTCTGACAATGTAAGATTAATAATACCCTTTTTTGTATGTCATGTCTTAAAAAATGCAAGTGATAGTTATTGCTTGTGCTTTTGTTTGTGATATTTGTTATATGTTGATTGAATGATTTTGTAATGAAAGCATCAAACCTTAAATTATGAATTCGAGGATGGAGAAACTGTACATTTTTTGATTCTCTAATGTGATGATTTCTACACTTTTGAAGTTCTCAAATTGAGTAAAAAGGTTCATCTTTTTTTTTTCTCCTCGGTTAATGGTTGAACCAAAATCAATTTTCTTAGAGATTTTTGTTCTTCATTCAAATTAATTTTGGATTATGGTTCTTGTCAATCTGTATGTTGAAAAGAGCATTTACTACAGAGTTTAAACTATTTTTAATTTCTAATATTCTGTTATAATTTTCTTCAATTTTCAGATAACCATTGCATTTCCTGATGATGGTGCATGGAAAAGATTTCATAAGCAGCTGCAACATTTTCCAACAGTATATAACATCTGAACAGAAAACAAGGATGCTCTGTGTCACTTATAGTTGTGTTTATCATACATTTATTCGTTCATGAAGTCACTTCACTAGTCCAAAAGTGTTGAATCTTAGTGTTTCTTTGCAGTAGTGAATTGTTCTACAGTTTTTACACCTTTTATTCTTCATTTTAACTAAAAAGCATGATTGCCAATAAGCTGAAAGTTTATGATTTGATTGTAACATGAACTGATTGAGTTGACCACTTCTGACAGCACTTTGTCTAACAGAATTTTCACATTTAGGAAAAATCATGCTGCAGATGTAAGAAAAAAGGCCCAAGGGGTCTTTTTCATACATTTGAAACCTATGCAGACAGGACTCTGAGGGCAAGTATTTGATCTTGTAAAAGAGGAGATTATCTTGGGTTCATATTTTCTTACTTAGAATGTGCCCTTTCCTGTGTAACGTGGCCCAAGAGTGTTTGTTTCCGGCTTTAATATCAGGCTAGTGGTAAATGCAAGATCTAAATATGTTGGATAGACCCAAGATTCCACCATAATAAGTTTCTGGTCTGCTGCTATGATAACATGGATATATGCATACATAAGATTGAATGTTGTGGTTCTGTTGTCTGTGCCGTGTTGCTCTTTGTGACATCTAGTTTTTAGCTCATTTTGGAATACAAACTGCATGCAGTTGGAGGTAGTATTCCATTACCATTTGTTCTTTGATTTTCTTGTTTCAGTGGACTAAAATAATATGGATGGATTATTGGCCAAAAAAAATAATAATAATAATATGGATGGATATTATCTGGAAGTTTTCCGTCATTTGATGGGAGTGGAAGAATCCTATATAAGCAAAGCCACATGTGTGGAGGGATTACATAAGACCGTGTTTTCTTATTCTTTTTATGGATATGACCTAGGTCTTCCCTTTTCTGCTTAAGTGTTGTATCTAGATGATTGTTCAACTTTATTTAGTAAAACTGTGCATCTCTCTCATTCTTACTGCTAATGAACTTGTTCATTGCATATGGATGCTGGCATAACCTTCTTGAATTGGTAACAGATTGTTTGTAATAAAGTTCGGATAGGGGACAAAAGAATTGTACGCATCAAGGAGGGAGAAGCTGCAGGACGGCATGTTGTGATTGTTGACGATTTGGTTCAATCAGGTGGCACTCTGATTGAATGCCAGGTACGTTACTCATATCTAGGAGTTCCTCTTCACTAATCCTTTTGAGTCCATAAGCCAACATCTTAACTCCTTGGTTCGATTTTTCTTGTTTATGGATTGTAAAGTCTGTAATTCCATATCGACATCTCATCATGTCCATGTCTTTCAGAGAGTATTAGCGGCCAATGGAGCGGCAAAAATAAGTGCATATGTGACACATGGTATTTTCCCTAACAGGTCATGGCAACGCTTTGAACATGATAATGCAGGTACTGCAAGCACCTATAAAGTAGCATTTTGGAAGTATCATTTTCTACAATATATATATATATATATATCTATATTATAAAAAAGGACAAGAAAAGCGTTGCTTTGTAGTGATGACTTCCTCTCTCAAATATAATTAACTGAAAATGGTACCGGATACTCTTTTACTGAGTTTAGAATATTACAGTCTATGTCATTGACATTCCCGACCAGTAACCTTAAGGAATATTTGAGCCCTTAATATTATGGAGGTGTTTAGAATTTGAATTTCCATAAACTAAAATAATTCAACTTGAATTATTACTAATTAACATGTGATAATCCTAGTATCTCCTAGAATTACCATTTACCAGACATTATTCATGATTTAGTGACTTGAAGAATTTTTGCTATCATTGCGATTTGCAGCTTTCTCCAGTTTCTGTATTTAGTTTAATCATTTGTATCGACTGATGTTCTCTTAATTTATGTAGGGCATCCTGAGAATGGGCTGACCTATTTCTGGATTACTGATTCATGCCCTCAGACAGTGAAAGAGGTGATCAGCAAACCTCCATTTGAAATTCTTAGCCTTGCCGGTTCCATCGCAGCTGCGCTTCAGATATGAAAATACTTCAAAGCCACTAACAAATCGTTCATTACACACTTTGAGAGAATCTAAGTTTTTTGTCTATAGAAAATAATGAGATCAGAACCCCTTTCGGCAACAAAATTTTAGAAACTTTTGCTTTAATTGATGGAATAAATGCTGTTCTTCTAGACTATTTTATTGATGGTTTATACTTATTAATGGCCCACAATTTCATGCCAGAAGAAGCTAGTAAAATATGGCAAATTGTAAGCCTTCCAAATTTCAAGTTTCAAGTCATCCAATGAGAAAAAAAGAAAAAAAAAAGGAAAAACTAGAGTCTAATTGGCAAGAGAAACATGCCGTCAATTTGTTTATTTGATAAAACCTTCCGATTCTAAACCAAATCACCTTAAAGACTCAGAGAGCGAGCACTTATCATATAAATGTAACTGGATCAAGCAACCGCGGGCTGTGTCTGGAGATGACAAAACTTATAATTACTGATCATCCATACTTTCAAACAATTCGATCATATGCTCGCCTTTTTTGGCCATGAAGAGCTGCCAAACCTAACTCTATATGCTTTCATACCTTGTCTTGCCGCTAACATAGTCAAATGGTCATGTCTTTTCAAAATTAACAAAGAGAAAGGGAAAGAAGAGTTACTTCTCCCCCTTACTGGTGGTTCGTTGGAAAGGAAGAAGTGGGGGAGGCTGAAATTGTTTTTCCCAGAAAATCACCATTTATAACTTGTTTAGGGTGTCAATTTGGAAGACAAAGAATACAATTTAATATTCCACTTGCACCTCACAGAATAAAGCTGCAAAGCTAACAGGCAAGGAATTTGGAAGCATCCTCCAAGTGCATCACTCAATAGACACGGAACAACTGGACAGGCAGAGAACAATCAAAGATGATACATCTAAGGATATTCAAAATTTTACCGATCTATCAGTTCTATGAGCATCAGCTGGTTCAAAACCATAGTCCATAGCATTAACCTCAAGCCTTGAAACTCAATGTACGTACAAATGAATCATGATTATGATGAAATTGAAAACGATGAAAGTAAACTTCTAAAAAATTTGAATCTATCTTTTCCAAGTAAAATAAAATTAAGTTACAAATCATTTAATTGAACAAAATCACGAAAAAGAAAACCCTCCACAATAATTAACCAACAAAAAATTGTTAGTAAAGAAAGACTCAAGTTTAAGAGCTTGACTCCACTTGAAGGGGGCAAATGGTAGGAAAAAACAAAAAGAACAGAAAAATCACAGTATTGGCGCGTGAGTTTCAACGAAATTAAAAATTGTAAAGCGGCGCCGTTTTTTAAAGCCTAAACATTGGGCACAGCAGGCAGGCAATTTACAAGATCGAGCTCACCGTTGTCCTTCCATTTATAATCTCAAATAGAAAGGAAAATAATTCACTCTGGGCAGATCGTAACGAACATTCCCAAATTATGATTCAGCTTCAACAAGCTCGCCCAGCTTTATACTTTCTTCATTTAGATCTTTCCTCTCGCATCATTCCCAGGCTCTGATTCAATCAGATCTTAACAAAACCTTGAACCACACCGATCTGATCTGCAAATTACTAGGGACTCGTAGGACGACCAAACAAAAAAAAGAGAAATGGCAGGGGCAGCATCGGCCCTATTCCTTCTAGATATAAAGGGCCGCGTTCTGGTGTGGCGTGATTACCGTGGCGACGTCTCCGCCACTCAAGCTGAGCGCTTTTTCACCAAACTCATCGAAAAGGAGGTTCCTTTTTATAATCTCAGAATTTAGATTTACTATTTTTTCCGGTTTAGGATAAATCATTTTCTTATGTTAATTGCTTTAATTTTTTTTTTAAATTCGAATTAGGCTATTTATACTTGGAATCAGCTTTTAATTCGATAGGGCTCAAAGTGGTTAGATTGTCATTGAGTTCCGTTCTTTGGATTTGGTTCACAGGGGGATCCGCAGTCACAAGATCCAGTGGTGTACGATAATGGAGTTACGTACATGTTTATACAGCACAGCAACGTTTACTTGATGACCGCGACGAGGCAGAATTGCAATGCCGCCAGTCTTCTTTTCTTCCTTCACCGTCTAGTTGATGTAAGGGCAATTTGGTAATTGTAGTTTCAGGCCTTTTTATCAAATTTTCCATTGAGTAGAGTTGTTACTTTGCTATTTTCTTAATGAAGTATATGATCTGGTTTCTTGATATCGATATGAATTAATCTTTCAGGTCTTTAAGCATTATTTTGAGGAGTTAGAAGAGGAATCGCTTAGGGATAACTTTGTTGTAGTGGTATGTGGAAATCAAACGCGTTTTCTTTTGGGTTAAATAGTTCCAACATTGATTGTTAGATGGTATTAGTATGCAATTTATACTGAAAGAGTTTATAATTGGGTATTTGTTATGCCTTTGCCAGTATGAGTTACTTGATGAGATTATGGATTTTGGCTACCCTCAATACACTGAAGCAAAAATACTTAGTGAATTTATCAAGACTGATGCATATAGGATGGAAGTTACTCAGAGGCCTCCAATGGCTGTTACTAATGCAGTCTCTTGGAGGAGTGAAGGGATAAACTACAAGAAGAATGAAGTAGGAGGCGTTTTTTACTTATTTTGATTTATGTATTGATGTCTTGAGATACTAGCTTACAAAGATTTGTTCATTGTAGGTTTTTTTGGATGTGGTAGAAAGTGTGAACATACTTGTCAACAGCAATGGACAGATAATTAGGTCGGATGTTGTTGGGGCATTGAAGATGAGAACTTATTTGAGGTGTGTTTTCTGGAAATTTGGAAATATATGGTTCAACTTAGGGAATATGCTTTATTTCAAGTCAATACTCTATCTTTACTTAAGAGTGTACTTGCATATTTTTATGAATAGATTAATAGTATGCTTAAAAAAGTGGCAATATAAAAGAGTGTGTCTAGTTTAGCAAAATCCATGTTCCAAAAAGTATTGCATTTTAGGGCAAATTTTTGATAATATCTTGTAGTTTGCAAGTGGTAAATAAAGGGTTAGCATTATTTGAATTTCATGGGGGAAAAAAGCTGATGCTGATTGAGTGGTAGAGGACTGACATGATGAGACCTGGATTCATATATACAACTTTCTGCAATTTGGATGAAGCATTTCTAAATTGGATGTGAGAATGGTGTCTTTCCATCTCTGTTTTGCTCCCTTGTTGACGAGACCATTTATTTGAAAATTCTGTTTGCCATGTCATTCATGTATATTATACTCGAAGCTTTGAAAATTCTGGCATGTTCGTGCATGCCTGTTCTGTTATCCTGTGTACTAGGCAACTCAAACCTTCATGCACATGGTCCAAACAATTGACTTTTGTCTTGATAATTATGGCATCAAAAAGTTTCTTTCACTTGGGAAATTTTTTTTCTAGCTACTTATTTATTTATTTATTTACTTATTTATATGAGTTCAATTTATCTGTTTCAGTGGTATGCCCGAGTGTAAGCTTGGCCTAAATGATAGAGTATTGCTTGAGGCACAAGGCCGAGCTACAAAGGGAAAGGCAATTGATTTGGAGGATATAAAGTTTCATCAGTATGTAGTCTAACTCTCTCTTCTACTTAAACTCTGGTTCTGAATCTTCTGATTATACGTTTTTTTAGCTTTGGGTGCAACAGCTACTGAAGTCTGATGTTGCAAGTTTCCCTCACATTAATGCTTTGGTCTAGGTGTGTTCGTCTGGCCCGATTCGAAAATGACCGAACTATATCCTTCATACCACCCGATGGGTCCTTTGATCTCATGACATATAGACTTAGTACTCAGGTTGACCTTTTTGCTTCTGATTTCTCACAACCCCCCTCCCCTTCTTTCTTTCCTTCTGCCAATTGCTTATTCTTGATGACTAATGATGGTGATTATTTCTGCTTTCAGGTAAAGCCTCTCATCTGGGTAGAAGCTCAAGTTGAAAAACATTCAAGAAGCCGAGTTGAGATTATGGTAAAGGCCAGGAGTCAGTTCAAGGAGCGCAGGTATTTGGTTTTTTTTTTATTTGTTTTTGTATTCCTATGTACTAGTCTTTTTAACTTATTTAATTTCACAGATCTCTAGTTGGGCTTATCTTATGGTTAGATTACTAAAAACTCCTGACCATTATGGTTCTTTGCAGCACTGCTACAAATGTGGAGATTGCGGTGCCTGTGCCTGCTGATGCTTCTAGTCCAAATGTTCGTACATCAATGGGGTCTGCAACGTACGCACCTGAAAATGATGCATTAATGTGGAAAATAAGATCTTTTCCTGGTGGCAAGGTATCATCTACCAACTCCAAACTTATCAAAAGTTCTCTGGCAAGCCATGGTACTTATCATTTTGAAATTCAAAATATTAGGAGTATATGTTGAGGGCAGAGTTTTCTCTTCCTAGCATAACAGATGAAGAGGCAACTCCAGAGAGAAAAGCTCCTATACGTGTGAAGTTTGAGATTCCTTATTTTACTGTTTCTGGGATACAGGTATGTCTTCAGAAATTTGATTGCTTTATTTTTTTTATTTGGTTTATGTCAATTGTACTGTTCCATCAATCTTCTGCTCTTCCTTGTGCTGTTGGCATACCAAAATGTAATTTTTTCATAATCTCCCCTCCTCTCTCTTCCGTACTCTTTCATCTGTCAAGAACTGGAGTATCTATCTGAATTTGGGAGGACATTAATTTTTGTTAACCTTCATTACAAATACTTTTTATTTTTGCAAGGAATGGAAATTTATGCTTTAGAGTTTACAATGCCACATACTTTGAAACTATGATGTTATGAGATGTCATATATTATCACTGAGTAACATGTAGGATACTTTAAATAGCATATAACAGGCTGTTCTATCAAATTATCCTGCCTGAAACTGGTAAAATATCAACATGGTTGATCTATTATATCCACAAAGCAGTGTGATAAGTTGCCTGGATTTAGGGGTATTCGACATGGTGATGAATTGTTTATTGGAGGGTGGGTTGAGGATAGCAATCCAACGTGATGCTGTGCATATGAAGCATAAATAAACTGCAGATCGGACATTTCCTATCTCATTCAAAGTTATTGGTTAGCATGCTAGTTTTGCTTGCTTGCTAGATATCCATTATAAAGATGCTAACCATACAACTATGTGACTATGTATGCATCTACCTAGTAGCATGGAAGCCACCAATAAGATCCAATACAAGTATAAAAAACGATCACTGGGCAGCACTGTGTGAATGACTTTTGGCTTTAGACATTACCCAGAATGATATTATTGTTGTTTGAGTTTGCTTCTAATTGAAACGATTGAAACAATCATTAAACCTACTGGAATTTCCTGTCTTTGATGTGTTGACTTTGACTTTTTTTTGTCATTTTCTTACTCGCATGTTGGGGTTTTGTAGGTTCGTTATTTGAAGATTATTGAGAAAAGTGGTTACCAGGCTCTTCCATGGGTACGGTACATAACAATGGCTGGCGAGTATGAACTAAGACTTATTGGATAGCCATTTCTTTATGTTTACATTTCCAATTCACTGAGTTTTTATGAGTTTGAATCACTGTGGACATAAGAATTCAAGGAAAATAGTTGAAAAACGAAGGCCAATAAAGAGCATGCAAGAATGGTTTGTCGTGAAAATCTTTTCTGCTTCATGGTACACGGTCTGTGCTTTATAACTGTTTTATCTAATAGGTATGTAAGAGATTATGATCACCAAGAACGTATATCACCCATTTTCCCTTATCAAACTACAAATTGAATACTGTGTATTCTGTTTTCTTTTTGTCAATGATTTATTTTTCTAATGTGTCAGCCCAGGCTAATGTACATTTGCCCGTTGGCCAATATTGTTTACATCTGACCCTTGAGGATCATTCGATGGGATTATTTTCAGGCTATGTTATAAAAAATTGTTTACACCTACTGCCTTTATGTTTTTTTTAAACGGTGGCGAAGAGTTTTTGGGTTTCATTTAGTATATTTCTTTTTCGGACTAGGTTCAAGCAGGATTTTTTATCTCAAATTTAATGAATTCATGAAAATTTATCTTTTCATTGCCTCCCAATAGATTTGAACCCAAACAATAAAAAATAAAACATACTTAGTTTTGCCACTTGAGCTCGTTGGTTCTTACTGCCTTTATTTGCTTGGTGGTGTGTATCGTTTTTTAGCCAAAAAGGATTTCACATCGAATGGTTAAGGATTGCGTTGTGGTTTATAAGCAAGGATCTATTTTTCTTTTATATAGGCGTTTTTGTCTTTTAAAAAGACAAAATGGTGAGAAAAATTGCGTTGGGCTGTCAAAACGGACAAGGTCTTATAGTTGGTGCACTTTGACCATCTTTGCATCAATGGCTTCATGTGTGGGAATCCATAATAGTTTTCGGAGAAATCACGGTAGTTCACACTTTTGACCAACATCCAATAGACGAGGATCGAATTGTGACCAGCTTATAAGTAAAAGATAAAGGATTTATACTATAGGAGGTATTTTTAATTTTAAAAGGGTCAAGTTTGTTTTCAAAGTGGATAATATCTCTCATTATAGGTCTTTTTCATAATGGATCATAAGCTTCGACATTTGATTTTCATATTTTTTTTTTATTGCCAATGTTTGGAGGTGGAAGGTTGTCCTAGGATAACTAATTACATAAAGGATCAGCTATACTCAAGATACGAAGGTTTTGATGATGGGCGCATCATTCTTTTTTTGTGTCCCCGGAGGGAATATATAGGGTGAAATTTGAAAAAGTGAAAGTAAATAGTAACTTAACTCCAAGGGCTTCAAAGGTGAGGCCAAATTAGAATTCAAAATACGATTTTGAATCTTTACGCTTTGCTGCATGAGGACTCAACCCTGGACCTGCAGGCACAACTTAGCTGCAAAATAAAGCTAAAAATATTTAATGAGTTAGAACATTATGATAGTGAGTAATTATTTGCATCATTAGGAAAGATGGCATGTCTTTGTCTCCTTTGTCTCTGGAAGCAGATGAAACATGAAAATATCGTGATAACAAATTTGACCATTGGGACACCATTTTCTTATCCACCTCTCCTTCAAGATCTGTATCTTTGCCTCTTTGGACTAGCATAAAATTGCCTTATTGGCTTGCCTCTATCAATATTCCTTTTTAACTTACCTGAATCCAACTTTAGCCCCACTCTACATGAATCGGTTATATGCAAAGGGAAAGCACATTGAAAAGAATTTTGAGGTTATTGAGTCAGTGAATAATTTGAAGCTTTGTTTTATTTTTCCACTTAGATTCACCTCGAAGGCTCAATACGAGAGGAGTATGTAAACTATCAGAATTAAGTTCATCAATTTATTAATTTTTTCCTTTAATATACTATCACTGAAATATTTTGTATCAAATTAACATTACAATTAAGTAATTACAGAAATATGGAACTATTTAAAGTTTAAACAGAAAGCCCTTTTATTTAAGTTTAAACAAAAAGTCCTTTTATTTATCTCCTACATAAATCTGTTCAATTTCCACGTACCATGTGGTTTAATCGGGCATATACACCTGCAACGATCTAAGGATTTTGCTTTTCGCCCCCTGACGACTAATAATTGCCATTGGTGGTCACTTTGATTGCTGATAACCTCTCCAATAAAAGGTTAAACTCGTCATCAGAACTCAGCATGCTAATCCTAGTATACTTTGATCCAACACCAAACTTCGTCCCGCCCCTCGTCACTATCTTATGTTCTCTTAAGAGATTGTCACTGTTCAAGCCCTCCTTGCTCTTCAACCATGCATAGGCTGTATCAGAAGAAGAAATCAAGAAAAAAAAAGTTTCATCAAAATTGAAATTAGTGTGCAAATGATGCCCGCCATTAATTGATTTTTATGGTGCATTACCAGGATTATGATCAGTGTATTCGCCACTGAAGTTGCAGTAGTCTGGCGAGTACTTAGGCAGACTGAAAACTCCATTGCGTTTAACCACTTCCCGCAGCTTTTCCCATCTTTCAGACATGAGGTGCTGTCCATATTCAAAGAAATTTTCTTCTTTGTTAGGCCCAGAATTCAGGCAGTCGTCGCTGATAACTCCTAGAATCTTGGCAGCCCGGAGTTGGGATTCTTTGGATACCCCAATGCTGTTAAGCTCTATGAACTTCACCATCTTGGTTGCAATTTCTTTATCTTTAACAATAACCCAGCTGCAGAATAAAAAGGTTATAAATTAAGTGGTCAAGATTTTTCTTGATTAATTATATCATGGCAGGAGATTCTTACCCAATGCGAGAACCAGCATGTCCTGTGGCTTTGGAGAAGGTAAAAAGCATAACATCATAATTAGCCCTACCAGTGATGGGGGTGTATTGAGGCCAATAGTAGGCCAGGTCGTGAATAAGTTTGCCACCTTTACGATTCACCACTGCTCCTCGAATTGCACCGTCAGGGTTGTTGGGTGAAGTGACCACCTCTATGTAAGGCCCATCTTTATTAAAGGAGTATGCATCACCTGCCCATTTGTACAGCCCTGAACGCAGGAACTCCGTCTCCTCTGGATATGACTGCAACCAAGGTAAATTTTAGTCAGCAGAGGTTAAAATTTCATGCATGGATGTAATCTTTTGAAGACATAAAACACATTAGAATGTGCAAAGAGAGCATGTTAAAGATCATTTACAATATTATTTTATTTGTATAAGAGGATTCCATGGTTTCCGGGAACCGTGAATAACATGCTAAATGTCTGCTTTTGTATCTCAAAAACTGCTCAAATTTTATATGGTTGAGTCCATCACTAATAAATCCTGGTGCATGCTAATTCCTGCTTGATGCAGCTGATTGAACTTGGCACGTAAATCAATGTCATTTTCTCGTAAATTGGTGCAGAAAATGCCAAAAGTGACTTTACTCCAAGTTTGGAACCAGACCGTAGAGGATCTGGGTTTGAACCGCAACATGCTTCAAAAACTAGTCATGCCTATGTTACCATGTTCGCCCTAAGATCCAAAACAATGCTACATGCACATGTTTGGTAGTTGTTTCTAAATCCTATGTGGTTAATGGAAAACATGATTGTCACTTTGTCCCATTTCGTTCTCAGTAATTTGTCTATATTCCCTTTGACAACAAACGTTCCCCATGTCATTGAAAAATGGAACCATTTGCTTTAATGGAAAAAGTTTTTTGGAGATTAAACATGTAGAAACCCGCAAAGCGGAAAACAGTGGCTCTTCCCTGAACCAGCCTCAATTAAAGAGTAGAGCCTAATAAATGCAACAGGAGAAGCGCAAAACATTGATTTGACTAAACTGAGTAGTAGTGTTAAAATGTTAAGATATACATATATAAAAAGTCAAATCTCTGAAGTCAACCAATATCAATGATTACAATTGTATCAGAGGCTTACAGAGTAGAAAGGGGCAGCAGCTACCACACTGATGGGCTCAGGCTCATTAGGAGAAGAGAGAGCATAGAGCAAAGCATGGAAAAGCTGGGTCGAGCCAGTCCCTACCACGATGAATCGATCATCGTCAGCTATTGCATTCCGGACCACGCCATGCAATCTCCGAATGGCATGATCAAGCTCCGGCATCAAAAACCAGCACAGATTTCCCGGGTTGCTGAAGTAGCTCATCAAATCATTGCCAGAAATCACCATTGAACACCTGTCTCCCAACTTCCTCCAGTATGACTCGTACATTGTAGGATCACCACTGTTGAAAATTTCATCATCGTATAAATTATCAATCATTTGGACTGGCAATAAACTGAAAGCTATTCAAAACCCGAAACCCAAACCGCAAAATATATCTATATCATATTTCATTGCATTGCATGCATCAATCAAAGCAGGATTTGTAAGCCAACAAAATTGGAGTGTTTAGTATAACCAAATAAAATGGAATATTAATGTAGCAGTCACACTCACAACCACCCATGGAAAGGGAAAAAAAGAAGAAAATAATTGCTAGAGAAATCAACGAAGGCAATGGACAAACCGAGCAAAGTTGATGACAGAGTCGGAGGAGAGAGTAGGAGGCGTCTTTTTGGCAGAGGAAATGGTGGATTTGGTAGCGGTAACCGCATTATCAATGCCGACCACCATCTTGGCTTCTCTAAAAGTGATTGTAAAATTACTTTTCTGCCAGTATATATTATAAAGGGACCTATCTCAGGGAAGACTTGTGGAACGTGGAGATGGGTATATATAGGGGGAGGAAATGCTGGAGTTTGGAAGGTGCATGAACCCTAACTCAGAGTTTTTTCCCAAACTACTACACTTTGAAACTTTATTTCCCTGACCAGTGTATTTTTAAACTTAATTCCTAAGCAAAGTTACTCTAACTTACCTTGGCTCCCATATCAGCATACTTTTTCCATGTCAATATCTCATATTAATTAAATAAAAATAATTTTATTTCTACTCATCTACAACAATTGCATTCTTATCATTGTCAAAATAATCTCTATCTCATTCTATTTTTTTACTCCAAAATCAATCTCAAAATCCATATTTCTCTGTCTTATCCTATTTTTTTACTCTAAAATCAATTTCAAAATTCATATTAATGATTACATACCCCCGTAAAGATGTATTATCTTTGTCACAATAATCTTTATATTTCATTCTATTTTTCTTACTCCAAAATCAATTTCAAAATACATATAAATGATTGCATATCCACATGAAGAAGCATAACTTGAATAACAGTAAAATAAGAAACTACAAAACTTGAAAAGCAGTAAAAATGAAATCACCAAACCTAGATTCTATTTGCCTCTAAAAAAAAACTTATTTATTTTGATGATATAACCTCTTTTTTCCCCAATTTCTTGTTTCAATTCTTTAATCTTTCAGCTCTCCGTAATTTGAAGTTGTTGATTTTAAAATCCTACAAAAAAGAATTGTCATTTTGAAACCATCTTCTCCTGATGCATAGGTTCCTTTTTAGATGAGAAACGTGCAAAGTGGACAACACCATGTTGGATTCTTATGGCAACCAAACTCATCTCCAATATGGGAATCAAACACATGGACACACACGTCTTTTTCTTCAGCAATGAACTTATTGTTATGTTTTGGTTTGATTCTAAATTGTCATAAATTTTTTTAAAAATTTTTTGATGAATAATTGCCATAAACAAAAATTCTCTAATGAATGCAAATCAAAGCTTATTCTTTTTTTAAAAAAAATTTTGGAATAATATATTTTTGTCTCGAAAATTGAAATCTAAAGTAAAAGTATTGACTTTGGAGAATGGTTATGTGAAAATAAAAAAGATGAATGTATATGTTATAGGCGTACAAGAGAAAAACATGATGTAAATAAAAAGGAAGATGAGGTGGAATAAAATGCTGACATGTAAATTAGTTGACTCAAAATATCTTTATTTTAAAATAAAATTTAAAAATACCCTTATGAAAGAAATAAGATTAAAAAGTAACTTACTTTGGGAAAAAGCTCTTAATTTTGCTTTCCCACAAAATTGTTGGATACTCTTTAAAGAGAACCAAACAAAAAAAGTCCTTAAAAGGCAAAAAATCTCGGAATCACAATGACTGTATCTAAAGGTGTACTTACTATATATGCTACACCTAACCAAGTCTAAAGTGGACCAAATCACGTTCTCCAGTAAATTAAAACTAGAATTTCTAACTAAGAAAAAGAAACTATAATTGGTTTTTCCTTTTATATATTTAAAATTGTTTCATATTGAATTTTGATAACTAAATGCTCTGGAACTAGACTCGGTTTATTATAGTAACTGTTAGAAAATTTAGGGAATGAATCATGAAAACAGAAAATAATAATTAATAAGAAATTAAAATGAGCTTGAGTGATGTAGAACATTTACCATAAAACTTATAATTTTTTTTACCAAATACATAACAAAACTTCAAAAATTTTTGAACAGAATTAGTGAAAAATATACTTTTAAAATGTTGTTTATATAATTGATGAAAACACCATTCTTTACTTTTAAGAACTTTTTTAGGGAAACTAAAATGGTTTGTCACAAATAAGTATTTCCACCAATCAATTTACTTTAAAGAACTTTTTTTATTTTTGATTCTTAACGCATGGGTTTTGAACAGCAAATTCATGGTTATATTTGTTCTCATAATATCTTTCAAACATTATTAGAAAGTAATTATTAGATTGAAGTGCCAATAATGATTGCAATTGAAATGGTGGTATCATTCAACTAACAACAGAGTAACTAGTGGTAGAATTTGAATAATAAAATGTTAGATCTAAATTAATCTACTTCTCTATGTATTAACAGATGTGTTGCAGAAAAAAAAAAAAAAACACGTATATAATGAACCCTCGATTGAAAGTAAAGGAAATAATAACTTCAATCACATTTTGTAATTTTAAAGGATGAATAACATCTGCAATCTCTAAATTTTTATTTAAATTTTATTTTGATTTTTTATTTTTAAAAATTTTTAACTGGATTCTCAATTATTCAAAATTACCTTATTTTAATTATTCCATCTATAAAACTATCTATAATGACAATGAATGTTAGTTGGTATCACATTATAAGGTCAACTGACATCTCATATGATAGGGGAGAGACTAAAATAAAATTTTTTCAAAATTTAAGGATGAAAAAAGAAATTATCTCAAAATTTTATATATTTCATATATGTTTTATAAAATATTAAATTTAAAATTATAATTTTATATTTTGCTTGTAATATAATTTATTAGTTATATATTTTTTATCAATTCAAATAGATTTTTAACAATTAAAATTAAGTTAAAAATAAAATATCTTTTAAAAATTCAACATTATTGTAAAATAAAAAAATTATTGTCTATTAAAAATATTATTTTTACCCAAAAATATAATTTTAAGTAGTAAACATCTTTTGTTTTCCTTTTAAATATATTTTATAAAAAATAAAAATAATTAAAGAAAAAATTGATTTTTATAAATTTCAAATATATTTATAAAATATTGTAATTTTAAATATTTTAAATTTTTATTGTGATATGACTTAATAAATAAAATAATTTTTTTAATTGGAAATAGAATTTTAAAAAATTAAAATTAAGTTAAAATTTTCAACATAATTTTTTTATAATTATATATTATTTAAAAATTAAGTAAAAATTTTCTATATTGGTTTTAGAAATTAAATAAAACTGCCATATCATTTTAAAATATTATTAAAAATTTTCATATCATTTAAAAATGGATTTATTAATCTATTCAAAAAATTATTTTCTATAAAAAATCTAATACAATGTATTTTTTTGTTAAAACTTTATATTCATAGTAATAAAAATATAATTTAAAATTTTTTATTTTTATTTTTTATAAACATATTTTATAAAATATATTTAAAAATGAAAAATTAAAGATATTTAATATTTTAAAAAATAAAATTTTTTGGATAGAAATAATATTTTTTTATTATGATTTATGAGTGAAAAAAATATTTTTAATAGAAAATAATTTTTTTAAAAATGTATTCAATTTTTTAAAAAAGGAATTTGAAAACTTTAACTTAATTTTAAGTTTTGACTATCTATTTAAAACAAAAAATCTAACTAATAAGTTATATTACAACATGAGATATAAAAATATAATTTTAAATTTAATATAAGATATGTATGAAATATATAAAATTTTGAGATAGTTTAATCTTTAATCCCTAAGCTTTGAAAAAAAAATTTTTATTTTGGTCCCTCATTGCCACCATGACTGATAGCTAATGTTATTACTAGGCACTAGTTGGCATTTAATGTCAATTTAAACAGTTTCATAAACAAAATAAGCAAAGCATGATAACTTTGGATAATTGAGGATTCAATTAAAACATTTTACAAAATTAGAAATCAATATAAAATTTGGGTCAAAACATATAGACTACAAATGCTATTAACCCAATTTAAATTATACTTTAGTTAGATCAATTATATCAAACTTTTTACATTTCATTTGTCATAACGTGCAAGTTCAAGAATTGATTGCTTAAACAGAATTTTGAAATTAAAACAAGTCGTCACCACCAATTCTTTTTGGTAGATGTAATTGGCTACTTAAGAAAATTTATGTTTTTAATAAAATTTCAAAATTAATTAAAACTTATTACTAAGATAGTTTTTGGTTTATGGAAAAAAATGAGTTTGAAAGTATGGTTATATTTAGGGAAGGATTAGTACCCCTATAACATTTTATTTTAAAACGATACCAATTGATCACATATTATCCCTTGCCTTTGATAAAAAAAATTGTCTTAATTTTAATATTTAAAATAATTTTTTAAATTTTATTTATTATTTTATAAAATCCTTTTAAAATATTTTGTTTAGGAATAAAATGAACATCTTTTGTTTCTAAAATTTCTTCTAAAATCTCCAATATCTAGGTGAAATTTAAAAAAGTATTTATTCACTTGGAATTCTCATAATAACCCTTAAAATCAGACATAATATTCTATTATAAAAAATTTATTAAGAATTTCTCTAATATCTAAGCAAGATCCAAAAAATTATTTTTTACTTAAGAATATTAACTTTTTATTTCTAAAAATTCAATTTTTTAAATCTTTATTTTTTGCCATTTCACTCCTATTGCCAACAAGTACAATGCATATGATAAAATATGAAATGAATGATGCGAACAAAAATCAAATAATGACAATAATCAATTTTATTCCATTCTTTTCAAATCTTTTATTTTTAGGTTTTTTTCTTTATCTTTGTAATCAAAGGTTTAGAAATAAAAATTTTTAGTGTTGAAAAATTTCTTTAATTTTTCAATATTTAGGTGAAATTTATGAAAATTGATCATTTGTTTAAAAAATCTTATAATAATTTTTTAAAATAAAAATAGTATTTCTTGGTAGAAATAAACATTTAATTCTTTCAATATCTAGACAAGATTTCCAAGATCATTTTTACTTAGAAATATTATGTTATTTTTTTTTTGAAAAATATCTCTTTTTTTTTTCTTAAAAAATCATTATTTTCCTAACTCACTTTTATTATTAAGAAAGAAAATGCATATGCTGTAAAATGGGATAAATACACAAATAATGCAAATGAATAAATGATGAAAATAAAAAATAAAATGGTACAAATAATCAATTTTATTTCTCATCTTGCAAACTTTAATTCTTTTATTATTTTTTGATCATCCTTTTATTTTTCCTTTCAAATAATATTTAGTTATAAAAATGAAAATATTTAGTGTTGACAAATTTCCTTTAATTCTTCAATATTTAAGTGAAATTTAAGAAAATTAATCTTTTACTAGAGTAATTTACATGATAACTTTTTAAAACAAAATAATATTTTTCATAAAAAATTTTCTAAAATTTCTTCCAATATCTAAGTAAGGTCTCCAAATTATTTTTACGTAAAAGATTTCATTTTATGTTTTTTTATTTGTAAAATCTTCTTTTAAAAATCATTTTTAAAAATTATCAAATTTTTAATTTTTTTATCAACAGCCTTAATCATTGACAAACCAATTTACTTTCAAGAATAGATGTTTATTACTATTATTTTTGCAATTATGAAACTAGACTTGACAATTTCAGGCATAACATGGTGATGCAACATGAAAAACCTGTATATGTGTTTTAAAAGAACATGTCTTGTATTTATTCGTGTCAACATAAATTTTGAAATGAAATAATTCGTATCTTATATGTGTTGATACGTTTAAACAACATGAAAAATACGTTTAAATAAAATATGTCGCACAGATTCATGTTTAATACTTGACATAACATGAAAAACACCTTTAATTTAGTCGTGTCACATGGGTACACATATAACATGTTTAGCACATTTAACATATTTTTTAATATTTATTTTAATTTAATATAAACATATAAAGATTATTTTAAAAATTTAATTATGATACTTATTTAATAATTATTATAAAATTATATTTATATTAATAATATAAATAAAATATAAGTAATAATATTAGTACAATATATCATTATCTTATACTTTAATCTTTAGTAGTTCAT